CAGTGACGTGCCAAAAGTTTTCTCCATATTTTGGTATTTCGTTTGATATTTCACTATAAACAATACCGTTGTTTAATCAAGCATTTATAAAAAAAATATTAAGAAATTTCATAGTAAAAGAAAACAGCGCTCAGATGTAATATATCTCAAATTTACGTCTGTAAAAATACATGTACTGGAAAGTTTACATTTTTCAATGCAAAGGTGATTTTTTAAAATATTTTAGCACTAACCACCCTTTTTCCGAAAGCTTTATTTGTACAAGAATATACCTAGTATAAATGAAAATCCTTGAATTAAATTCATATACATATTATACATCAGTTAGAAATCCATTTATTATGATTTTTTGTCTTTTCAAAAATACAACTGAAGTGATACTTAGTTGAGAACAGTAGAGTATATAAATATATATGTTCCTAAAAACAATGAAAAAATGAGGGTAAATTGAAGGAGAAAGAGTAAGGGGGAATTAAATTTACCTATAAAGTTTTCCTTTAGAAAATTTAAGATGAAAATAATAAATGACTAAAATTATACCCATTATAATGGAAACTTCTGAATGCGACAATTTCATGTAGTTTTAAGAAATTCTAAAATGCTGAAAAAAATATATATTAATAATATTATATATTCATATTATCTTTATTTGCACAAGTCTTTGAATTCTAACTCAGTCATTACACCCTCCCCCTTTTTGGATAGTAAAAACTCTCCAAAATATAAATCCATTGACTCTTACTTAATCAAAATATATTGATAATAAAAATATCTTCTTATATTATATAGTTATATAATTTGATACTCATTTGTAGGAGGGGGCGCCTGGCTGTCCCGTTTAGGTTATTGTCATTCTTGATATTCTTAATTTTAGCAAATAAAATATACAAAATATTGTATATTTAATTTCATTTGCAAAAATAAAGTTAACCAGGAAGGACACTATTTATAAGCTTATGTATCATACTGAAAATCTCAGAAATAGGGGAAGTAAAACTACTGGGGATCTGCAGGTGCCCCGAACGACCCTTGCTTTTGAAATCCCCTATCGCCACCAACTCAGGTGATGTACTTTCCAGGAAGATATTTTCCATTTAAGAGAGAGATGAAAATAGTTAGCATTATAAAATTTATAATCCACAAATACATACAGACATAATTTTTACCATAGCAAATGTTCATTGAAGTGTCCCCCATCTTTTTGTTGCAGTGCAGTTAAATAAAAAAAAATGGTACTGTAAAAAGTTATCCCCCCCCTCCACGAAATAACATTTTCGATAGTGTACATTTTTTTTTTGCTCGTCAAGTTTCTTTCGGGTAAGTTGAAAAGTTGAAAAAAAAATTCTCAGGCTGCCGTCCCCCCCCCCCCTCCCCTACACACACTTTCAAAAACAATGCTACGTCACAAAAATACTCAGATTTCAAATTATAATTTCTTGGTGTTGTTTGTCCCCAAATGACCAACAGTCAGGCTCTAAATCTGAAACCACCAGAGGAATAAATTCAACATGAACCTGATTGATACATGTACGTGTATTAATGTTGAGGAGTATTGATACTATAAACTTTAATGTTCCATCTCCATTCGAGGTCGATGTATAAAAGATGGACTCGTGTTGCATAGTAGATCTAATTTATTCTAAAAAGATTTTTATGCCCCGCCATGAACAGGGCCGGGGCATATAGTGTTTGTCCTGTCCGTCTTCCGTCCTACCGTCCTTCCGTCTGTCCTTCCGTCACACTTTGCGTTAAGCTCTGTTCAAAGAAACTATCCAAGATATTTTTTATCAAACTTCATGTGCTGATAGATATTGATGAGAGCTATGCAACTGCATCACCATTTCTTGACCTTGACCTTTCTTTTGACCTTGACTTCACTTTTCTTAAATTAGTTTTTAGCTCAGTTTTAAAGATGCCATTCAAGATAGTGCTATCAAACTTCATATGCTGATACATACTGATGAGAGCTATTCAACTGCATCAATATTTTTTGACCTTGACCTTTCCTTTGACCTTGACCTACTTTTCTTTAATTAGTGTTTAGATCAGTTTTAAAGAAACCATAATATTTTTATCAAACTTCATATACTTATACATACTGATGTAACCTTATCAACTGCATCAACAATTTTTGACCTTGACCTGTCCTTGACCTCACTTTTCTTAAATTAGTGTCAAACTTCATATGCTGATACATACTAATGTAAGCTATTCATCTGCATCAATATTTTTTCACCTTGACCTTTCCTCTGACATTGACCTCACTTTTCTCAATTTGTGTTTAAATGTTGCATTACTAATATACCCTCGGCGGGGCATTCATGTCCTATGGACATATTTCTAGTTTGTTAATAGCATCAACGAATATAGACTTGACAATTTATAACTTTAACATCATTTGTGACAAAAAGACTGTATTCTTTTTTCTTTGGCTCTTAATTGAAAATTCATTTGTTTTTCCTTAAACTTCATGTACATGTTAATTAATTTAAAATGCCGTTACTTTTTTTCTGTACACAAACAATTTCAACTATGATGAATATGTAACTAAGTTTGCGCCATTCGTGTCAATAATGCTGTATACAAGGGTTGTTAAAAAAGTCTTTGGACAATGGTGTTTTTATTTGTTATGAAATTCAAAATACAAAAGTCAGATTAGTATTTTTTATTAATTATAAAAATCAAAGTCAGATTAGTTATTTTTTTTCATTGTTGAAAATCACTGATGAAGTTAGGAAGATGATTTTGATTTATTCTTCGTTAGTTGACACCTTTGTCAGTGGTCCAGATTCAAAGATCAATTTGTAAGGTCATCGTATATTAAAAGAAAATACTGGTGACAATGATGAAGGCATGTCACCTAGAGCCTCTGACTCTAACCTATAATATGTTTTTACTATAAACAAACCTTGGAGTTTAGAATTTTAGGATTCTAAAGTCAATGATCTTTACTAGATATTTCTTAAGTTGCAGACACATAGTATCGATTTAAATAAAAAAGGGGGGTCAAAATCAAACTCGAAAATCCTATCTGGTGGGGGACGACTTCTCAACTTCCTCCACAATCATTTTTTTTCATACATTACCACTTAACTCCGATTTTAACTAAGCTGCAACAAACAGTGGGGGGGGGGGGGGGGGGCTAATAGCCTTTCAGTGAACACTCTCAATAGTAAAAGGTAATGACTAAAAAAGGGGGGACAACCCCCCACCCACCCACCCCCCGATACGTCGTGCCTGAGTTGTTAGTAATACATGTATCATTAAATCCTGATTATATACATGTAATTCCTGTCCATTTTTTTGGTTGCCCATTGTTGTATTTTGCATGAATAATTTAATATTGTTTTCAATTGTTGTTTTTAATCTCGAAAAGGGCGATTTTTGGTATTTTAATATTATAATTTGAACCTAAGTGCAAATAGGTCAAAATTAATGCTAAAGAAAGTTATATTTTACTGTTCTTGTTTGTTAATAAAATTAAATTTCAATGATCTTTTTGCATTGTCTATCTTTTATTTAACGTTCCGGGGAAAAAATTAAAAACAAAATTGTGGAGAAAAACGGACTGCACAGTAAGCAAGCAATTTTGACTGCAGATATGATATTCAGATGAATCGACACTATGGAGGTCATAAATTCTTTCAATTAAAACGTTCTTTTTGTGCAATATTTTCTTTGAAGTAAATAAACAATGTAATGTACGTAAAAAGTTTAACATCTTTTACATATAAAATACAATGGTACAAAAAAGTTTTTTTTTTAAATATAAAGCAAAATTGACGGCATCAATGACGTCATAGTGCTCAAAGCGGTTAAATGCAATAAAGTACATTCCCATCTTCAGAGGGTTATTGCAACTAAACTATAAAAGATAGATAAGAATTGTTAATATATTTATAAAGTGTACATTCTCAAGTCATTTCTTTATGATTATTTTTAATTTTCAAAGAAGGGCCAAATTGCACTACTAATGTACCTGGCTCTTTATTTCTCTGTTTATTTAAAGATTATGCAATGGTTTTGATGCAAGAAGTGATCAAAGTGAGATTGGAGTTTGGTTCGTACAGTGCGTTCAGAAAGAGACGCGTTAGCCTGCCATGGTGAACTGCTCTGCTCCAACTGCATCCTCATACCAATATGTCCCAAAATCAGAACTTGTGGAGCGCCATATCTGTTGGTTTAATAAAAAATGTTAGCTTACCATACAATCATGAACAAAGTGCTCAAATGTAAATAACTTTCTAAACTTGTAAACATCAATAATTTCCTAAGCTTGTAAAAATAAAATTATGTCTTTTGGGTCATGAATACAGGGATAATGAAGTTGCTTGTTTATATTACAATCCTTTAAAAAGATTCCATTGGGTTTTTTCCCCAAATATGTGTACCTAGGACATTACTGTTGGATACCTAAACCCACTATTGCTGAAATGGAAAAGCAGTTCTAATCTTTGTTACTTCACATGATGGCAAGATTTTCCTGTTGTTTTTCCCCAAACATTGCTATATCCATCGCACAAATCGTCGATATGTTAGATGCCTGTAAACACTAAGAACAGAAAAAAAAAATAAAAAATAATCAGAACTAACAACACTTGCACAGTTAGATTCAGTGATTTTTTTGTTTTTGTTTTTGTTTTAAATAAACTATTATTTGAAAAGTATAATCTATAATACATGTCTTTACAGTTGCAGTACCAGGTACACCCCCCCCCCCCTTCCACACACAAACATTCATGCTTACACGTAAACAATTGCTTAATTTTATTCCAAATCTTTTGACATAAAATCATGATCATTAAAAAGATGGCAATTAAAATATTTTCTAGAATTATAAAGTATATCTGTCATTATTTCTGACAGTATTAAATATTCCTTTCAATCAGAATGACCAGAGGTATTTACATGCATGTAATAGTACTTCTTTATTTGTATTATCAAGATTAAATTTTAAAAAAAAAACCTACTTTTGTACTAATTCATTTTCTTCAAGTGGGTCAATGTTCTTCTAGATATTCATAAAAGGATGTCTCTAAAACCCATCTGTTGAGACAGTTTGCTGCAAAACCCTCATGTTCTGTGATGCAGGTCTCTCCTCTCTCTTCCAACCTTGACTCAATAGCAGCATAAAAAAGGCAACATTTGCATTCTTTTGCAGTTGGCATAGTAATACAATTTTTACAGGAACACCTGCATCCCAAAATCAAAGAAGTAACCACCCATACTTGCAATTTTTTAGCATTCATGTAAATAAAGTATACTTTTCATGAATATAACGATATAAATCATATTTCATATATAATACCTAGTAGTAAATGTCATCCGATTTAACAATTAAATTTCTTTAAATTCATACTATCTTTTATATCTCCATAGGCTTTGAAACCCTAATTTTTTTTTAAATTTATTCTCGTCCTTCACCAGCTGTCCTATTGAGTTTACATGTAGGACCTATACCAATATGTACATGAAGTACTAAATCCTAAATTCAGTATACTTAAAATGTACCTCTAAATACAAGGTTCTTAAACTTTTTTATGCTTTTTTAACTTTTTTATGCTGATCATTTCATATAATTTTAGTTACTACTTTGTTAAAATACATGTATGACTTTTTACCAGTGCATGTCTGACGGCAGTCGTTAAGAGATTTCATCATCACTATGGACGCTGCCTTGTGCCCGACTGCCCCGAGTCACTTTCATCGTCATTGTCTTGTTGTTTCTTGTCTTTTAATTGGCTCGTATTGATACGGCTGCACAGTCAGTTTAAGGGTTGAATCTATTTCAGGTATACTTTCGTGCCACAGGCACTTGTTTCTGTAGTAAATTTTTGACCCACATAGTATAATAATAACACAAGGTATCCAACTCCGTATTACACGGAGTACCCCCCTCCCTCAGAATCGCACTCATTTACAATTTCAGAGGACATGCACTGGCAAACTGTTTATACCTATGTCTTCTACGATAATTTATCTACACAACCATATATAGCATGCGTGTCTTTATTTTCTTTTATCCCCGTAAACAGCGTCAAAACTCTGATCGCCGAGTGGAAAAGTCGAACTCAACCATGAAATGGTATGTGCTAATCCCGGGCAGAGATTTTGATTGGCTAAAAATCTGTTTTTTAAAATTACATCGGAAAAATATCGTAGTGCTTTAAAGGAAATTGAGAGGTAAACAAATTGTATTTATTCACTGCAATATTTAAACACTGGAATTGAATTTTTAAACTCACTCATTCTTTAATTTTGCTCTCTGCCCGGGATTAGCACATACCATTTCATGGTTGAGTTCGACTTTTCCACTCGGCGATCAGAGTTTTGACGCTGTTTACGGGGATAAAAGAAAACGCATGCTACATGCATATATGGTTGTGTAGATAAATTATCGTAGAAGACATAGGTATAAACAGTTTGCCAGTGCATGTCCTCTGAAATTGTAAATGAGTGCGATTCCGAGGGAGGGGGGTACTCCGTGTAATACGAAGTTGGATACCTTGTGTTATTATACTATATAGGTCAAAAATTTATTACAGAAACAAGTGCTGCTTGTGTTTCGTACGTGTCACTTTCGTTAGACTTGTACATTATGGGCGTCGCCATGTTCCACTAAAGGGCAGATAACTCGTATCGGACCGTTTTACCTGAGCTTCGGATTTGAGAAATTTTTACCTGTTTTTCAACGGGGTAAAAAAAATAATCATTATTTAGGTATCAACTTCCTAAATAAGTAGTTTAAACAGACTCTGAGAACCTTTTCAGTTCACCTTTAAGACTTCATACCCTTTAAGAAACTATGGCGGGGAGAATTTCACTGAGAGACAAGTTTTAGACTCTGAAAACATGATCAACCTAGGTGTGAATTCTTAGTGTACACAAGTCTGTGGACAAGCATTTGGAGGAAAGTCTTGTGCTAAAACCATTCTAGTGCATGTGTACCCAAGACACTGTTCGCAAAAATCTGTGAAAATTTATGAAGTGATTGATGACCAGTCAGACAGAACACTTGCTAAACCAGAACTCTTTGATCTTATGGACACTCATGGAAATATGACAAATTATTTGTTAACATCTTGTTCAGGAAAAGTTAAAAGGTCAGGACGTAAAGTTCATGGATTAGTTGTCGAGTCATTAGATGGACAAAACTGTACAGATATACCTACCATCATTGAGTGTGATGAAATTCCTGAAGTCAGAGAGGAAATTTCTACCCCAGACATAGCCCTACATTATAAACATTTGCATGACATTGCTGATCACATATCTCCAATTGATCCTAATGCAGAAATCCTGTTACTGATGGGAAGGGATGTAACCAAAGCACATCACGTTTAAGACCAACGCATTGGATTTGGAAATCAATACTATGCCCAAAAACTGTCCCTTAGTTGGACTATCATTGGTTAGACTTGTTTGGGAAAAACCCATAAACCAGATGTCATTTATGTCATGAAAACTTGTGTTCTACCTGATGGCCGTCCAACTCTGATGCTACCTTGCAACAGTAACTTACAGGCCAAGGAAAAATCCTAAATGAAACCTCAACAAACATGTGTACAAAGACTGAAATTGGTGAAAGTGTTTTTCAAAGAGAGAGAGAGAAAAAAAAAATGATATAAAAAGGGGGGCACTTTCTATGGATGATCATATCCTGATGGACATTGGCAAGCTCCACTTCCTTTTTGTAAGGACCGTCAAAGACTAATAAACAACTATGATCAAGCTAGTAAGAGAGCAAAATAGTTAGATTACACTTTGCAGAAGTATTCTACAAAAAAAACATTTTGTGGAATTTATGGATGCATTGTTCAAGAATCATCATGCAGAAATAGCACCGTCTCTACAGAATGGAGAAGAGTGTTGGTACTTACCATTGTTTGGAGTTTACAAACCAAAGAAACCAAGCAAAATTCGAGTCGTGTTTGATTCCTCAGCAAAATGCACAATCTTATCGCAAAACTTCAACATGTAGCACATTCATTTAAACAAAGAGACAGTAAATGTTCTGGTTGGCATATCAGGGGTTGACAAATTCCATTGGCCAACGCCTGGGACTAGTGAATTTTGGGGATGGGCAAGTGAATTTTTATTAACCACTTGTCCGAGGGCAAGTGACTTTTTCAAAAAAAAAAAATAAGTATTAGTTTTAAGTGGAAATTGGCACTTGTACTAATCACTTTTTGTCTTCCTATTTTCATAGTTTATGGTGGGGCAAGTTAAAATTCAGGTAGGGCAAGTGCATTTTTACAATGTACTTGCCCATGGGCAAGTACTTGAAAAATCTATTTGTCAGCCCCTGCATGTGTGTGAAGATTCAAGAACTGTGGAAAATTTCGACAGAGCAGAAAACCTAATCATCAAAATTGTGCAGAATGAAGTGTATTTAGAAGAAATTCAGTGCATATTGAAAGAAAAACCTCTACCAGTAACCTAGATAGTAACATTTTACCTCTTTCACCATTCTTGGATAAAGATGGAATACTGGGAGTCGGTGGACGTCTCAACAAAAATTCTTTACCAATCAATGAGAAAGTCCAGTGATAATACCCAGAAGACATATGGCCTTGTTGATTGTTCGTTACTCTCATGAACTCTGTAAACATCAAGGTCGCCACTTAACAGCAGGAGCGATTCGTAGTGCTGGATTCTGGATAATAGGAGCCAGAAAATTAGTTTCATCCATACTTCACAACTGTGTCAAATGCAGAAAATTACGTGGAAAGCTATTGTGTCAAAAAATGTCAGACCTTCCCGCTGATCGTTTGGATCCTAGTCCACTTTCACTTACATTGGCCTAGATACGTTTGGTCCATGGGAGGTAGTTACTCGTCGGACACATGGAGGATCTGCAAACTCGAAAAGATGGGTGATCTTATTTACCTGCCTTACAACTAGAGGAAGTCACATTGAAGTTGAGGAGGAGTTAAGCTCTTCATCATTTATCAATGCCTTTAAGCGGTTTGAAGCCATTCGAGGAAAAGTTACCCAAATTCATTCAGATCAAGAAACCAATTCCGTGGGTGCTATGAACTGAAAATCGCTTCAACTGGACTCACCTTAGAAGATGGTAAAATCAAAAACTTCCTTTATGAGTGTGGAACTACTTGGAAGTTTAATCCACCCCGGCCCACTCTTCGCATATGGGTGGCGCATGGGAACGCCTCATTGGAATAGTAAGACATGTGATTGATGCAGTTATGTTATAGATACCAGCTAGATCTCTAACTCATGATATTCTGACGATATTTACGGCAGAAGTTTCAGCATTCGTAAATGCGAGACCATTAGTCCCTTTATCGGAAGATGAAGATGAACAATGCCATCTAATCCCTTCCATGATACTTACCCAGAAAACTCCTGTGATCGTCGACTTTCCTGTTGACAAGATGAACAAGGCCAGTGGAAACACGTACAGCATATGGCAGATTTATTCTGGACGCGCTGGAGAAAAGAGTATCTTCATACTTTACAGATTCTTCTAAAGTGGACGCGTAGTGAAAGAAACATTACACAAGGTGACAGCTTGTTACTTCGCGATAAAGATGTTTATCGTAACCTTTGGCCTATGGGTGTCATTGTGAAAGTGTTTTCCAGTGATGACGGAAAAGTTCGTAAGCTGAAATTCGTGTCGTGAAACGCGGTTGCCAGTCGTCAACATTCATTCGTCCAGTTACAGAGATGGTGTTGCTACTGTCCAATGACATTGGTAATTGAATATGTGATGTTAGAAACATCAGACGGGGAGTGTGCTGTCACAGTTCTTATTTTTCATTTATTTTGATCTGATTTTTGTTTAGTTATACGGTATGAAATATTTGTATTATTTAACAGATATCATATTGAGTTATCCTTCTTTGTAAATTTTTGAATTATCTTCCCTAAGTGGAAATCTTTTGTGTCAGGAGTTATCTCCCTCATTATCTCGTGCACGTTTTCATTCAGTCTGCCATTAAAGTTCCATCCGTGATGATGTATATGTAACATTCTTCATACCTTCTTATGATTTATGGCCTATTACCATGCAAGTTTTTTTTTTTAGGAAACTTTGTAACTTTATACTTATTATTTATAAAGTTGATTGGTAATTATTTATAGAATATTTGTGTATTGAAAACTTTTTTACCTCACTCGCTCACTCACTATTCGACACTTCTCATTTTGATATGAATTCGCTCTTCTAATAAATATGGAATCAATTTCATCATGGGTTCTTCAGGGATCAAGTGTGAGACAACATACCCGCTGTGATATATTGTAATCAGTCATGCGCGCATACGTACGTAAATATAACAGCATTTACGTCTGTATCAGTCTGATAAATGGTTTTTCTCTGTATATACTAACATGCACTTACATGTAAACGTATATCTGATTATTAATCCCGTTGTTATGGGACTCATATATTATCTAAGCATAGTACTGCAGTTACATGTTTATGCATTGTCGTAATCACGGAATACCTTAATTCAGCTTTTCCCTACAAATGTATGAAATTGACGTATCTAAACTTTTTTATGAGCACGTTTCTTAAAATTAAAATAGGTGCACTTTTTTCTTATTTGCAATATCTGTAAATTCTTTTTCTTACATAAATATTTAGGCCTGTCATTTACTTAGACTATGCATTGCATTTTTAAATCTACTCCATGCTCAATTTGTAGGTTAAAACTGTATTTTCAACCTTTCTCTCATTTTCACAACATAATGCATTTAATCGAGGACACTCTCTTTGCGGCTGTTTTTAGTTGTATATATTAATATGCCCCTGCCGCGCTGACTATGAGGAGTTGATTAAATCAACTCCCAAAATAATCCAATTTTTCAAAAATCAGAAACATCAAAACGTATGACTTTTCAACATTTTATACAACCATTCTTCATGAAAAAATTGAAACTTTGCTTTTTGATATAGATAATTGATTCTGCAATAAAAAAGGAGGTAGAAAATATTCTTTTCTTGTGATTGGTCATCAACAAAATTATTTTGTTAAAAGTCATTCTATTCTACACACAAGTACTCTTAAGTTGATATTAAAGAGATGCTGGAAATCTTCATTGACACTTATGTAGTCTTCGGAAACTATGTCTTCCAAAAAAACCAAAAATGTGGAAATTCGATAGGCACTGATTATGCTCCTTTATAAGCTGACCTGTTTTCATATTTCTATAATTTAATTCTGGTTATAACGCAGTATTTGATTGAATAAAAAAAATACGTTGTATCATATAAATTGGGTTGCCTACGTCACAATGACTTGCGTCAAAAAAATATAGATCCGCCCGGCGTTAATTTAAATTTTGTACAATTTGAAGTCATTTTCTAAGGGGAATCATCTTTTTTCTTACACTAAATGAATGAAAATTAAATTATAAGGAATGAAATTAATAGCTACCCAATTTATACGGTATTAAGTGGGTTGGAACAGTTTACGCTTTTTTATAAACCGCTTTGCGTTTTATAAAGCGTAAACTGCCCCAACCCGCTTGATACCGTATAAACTGGGTAGCTATGAAATTCATTAATTGAAGCAGAATTTATTTAAAAACAAGAGAAAAAAGAATGGAAGTAACTATTGTTAATTGATATGTCGAAATAGAGAGTAAAACAAGTGGAATGTAAACACATTTCCTAAATTATTAAATAATAATAAATAAGGGGGTTTAAGTAAGTACATGTACATGTAAATACGGAGAACACAAGGTAAATATAATTATCATACTTAAGGTAGTCCGATCCTCAGGTTCTAAAAATCAGATTTTCAGTAATTGAAAATGCTCTCAAAAATGGCTTTGATTTCACAGAGTAACGTGTATTTACCAATAGTATTTCTTAAAAGTTCGTCATTAACGTATCATATTATGTAGGGAAAATCATCAAATCTCAAATATACGAGGGGTGATCAATAAGGTTGCGAACTATTTCCATATTTACAAAACCAGAATGAAAGTTGGCACACATATAGTCATAAAGATGTTTAATAAATAGCAGATGGTGCGTAATGTTTTGCTCCTTGTTTGTGACCTCACAATGTGAAAATGACGTCAATATGTAGAAGACTTGTGACAAAAATGGCTGAATAAGTCGTACTCGAGCAATGAGCAGCTGTAAATTTTAACGTATATCTTTGAAATTTGTTTGCAGGAAGCAATAATAAATTGTACAAGGTTTATGAAGACAAAGGACTTCTCAGAAGTTCAATCGTTAATTTAAGAGAAGGAAGGGAGATGGTTAAAAATGATGTTCGTTTTGGTGCCCAATGAAAGTAAGCTTTGAAAGCTATGTGTCCTTAGTTGAGCAATTTTGTTATGAAAGATCACCAAGTTACAGTTAGAAAAATATTTGAATATCTTAACAATAAAATAATTATTAAATCTCTAAAATATCATTTACTTTAGACTTTAAACATATCAGATACATGTATGATATAGAGAAAGTGTCCATACTTGATCCAGAATGGATAAACGACGCTCCCAATACAGAGGACTCGGGTTGTGATGGTCACCGTGCTCATTCTGGGAAGGGATGTCCTTATCCACCCATCCTATAGCTGACATTTGGCAATTTATGACAAATCAACTTGTAAATAATAAAAAAACAACCTTCATGGTAAGAAATATAAGACTCTGAAAATCTTTTAGCTTCTGTATATAGTACGCTACGGAGCATTTCACGTGACCACCTATATCATGTGATTCGCGCATTTGCAGTAACGGTAGAAGACGTGCATTAAAATTGGAGGGGATTACTTAAAAAAATTATAAACCCCGAAGCCTAATTCTATTTATTTCTTGGAAGTAATTCAATTAGTTCGCGAACTTTTTCATCACCCTTTGTATTTTCAGTAAATACGAATAAAGCACCACCTATGCACTGTCTAATTGAAAATTGATCAACAAATATATATTTGGATTCAATACTATAGGTATCCAGGCATTTGGACAAATTCGCATGATTGAACAAACAAAAATTTCAAAACAATGAGTATTTACTCATTTCCGTGAATCAAACTACTGTAAATATTTGTGCATCATGTAAACTTATTGTTTAAGGTTTATCTTTATTATACCCGCACTTTCTAAAGGAAGTTCGGGTATATTGTTGTTACTCATGTCTGTCCGTCCGTCCGTCTGTCACACTCTTCTTTCTCAAACTCCTCTTACATTTTACACAGTAGCCTAATCATCTTTTGGGAGATGGTTGGTGGTGTCATGTAGATGTGCAGTAAGGTTTCGGAATTTTCATTTCCCCCCCCCCCCCGGGGGCCTTTTTTTTTTTTTTTTTAATATTTAACATATTTAAAACCCTGGTTCCCAGAAATTCCCTTATATTTTAGGCACTAGCCTTTAAACAGGATCATTTGGAAGATGATTGATTTTGTCCTGTGGATGTGTAAAATGGTTTCAAAATTTGCATTTCCATTGGATGGCAAAATGGAGCAGGAAAAAATGGCCCCTCCCTAACCATGGGGTCATGATTTGTACAAACTTGAATCTACACTTCTTGGGAATGTTTCCATATTAATCACACTTTTGTTGTTCTTGAAAAAAAGAATTTTGAAGATTTTTTTCCTTTTATTCCTAAATTAAATTTTGATCTCTTATTGTTGCCTGACCCTATCCTTGGAGGTCATGATTTGAAACTAGAAAATATGTCCATAGGACATAAATGCACCGCCGAATGCATATTTCTAATGCAACATGAAAATTTTTATGAGTGTATGAAGTTTGATGAGAATATCTTGAACAGTTTCTTTAAAATTGAAACTAAATTCTAAAAAAAATGGATATAGATGATAAATTCTCACCAAATTATGTATAAGTGCAAGCTTACATAAAAATATCTTAGATTGTTTCTTTAAAACTAAGCAAAATACAAATTAAAGAGAAGGGAGGTCAAGGTCACAGGAAAGTGCAAGGTGAAAAAGTTTTTGATGCAGTTGAATAGCTCTCACTAATACAGATCAGCATATTAGGTTTGATAAAACTATCTTGAATGATTTATATGAAACTGAGCTTAATACTTATTTGAGAAAAAGGAGGTCAAGGTCAAAGGAAGGATTGAGGTCAAAATGTTGATGATGCAGTTGAAAAGCTTACATCAGTATTTATTTACTATTAGCATATGAAGTTTGATAAAAATATCATAAGTGGTTTATTTAAAATGTAGATAAACACTAATTTAAAAAAGTGAGGTCAAGGTCAAAGGAAAAGTCAAGGTAAAAAAAGTTGATGCAATTGATAGCTCTCAGCAGTATATATCAGCATATGAAGTTTGATAAATATATCTTGAATTGTTTATTCAAAACTGATCTAGACACTAATTTAAGAAAAGTGAATTCAAGGTCAAAGGAAAGGTCAAGGTCCAAACAGTTGATGCAGTTGAAAAGCTTACATCAATATATATCAGGATATGACGTTTGATTGAAGTCGGACATGACAGACACTATATGCCT